CTTTACGTTTTTGTTTTTCCATTCTAAAACGATTTACATACATAACGCGGCAAAAAAACAACAAGTCACTACCTGTCTCTCGCTCTCACTAATATAAACAACTCCGCACGATTGGTGTTGCCGAGCGTGGAAGTTCGTTATAAACGGAAAGTGAATATACAACTAAACTAAAAAGTGATCGTTATATCCGGAAGTTCGTTATAACCAGTAAAAAAATACGTTGGTCTTTATGGATGACGTTTCATTAAAGGAAAAAAGTTCGTTTTAACCGAAAGTTTACTATAATCGGGTTCCTTATAAGCGGACTTTACTGTATATGTATATATATATATGAAAGATTAAATAAGTTTATACTATCTATATATTGCTACTTTGTTAAATATTTAATACCAAGTCAGCTAAAATTCAAATTATTCATGAATCTCTAAAACGCAATCCTTGGTTGTGACGTCTCTGGTCATATAAATGGCGGATTGTTTACGTTCTGTGCGTAGTGTTTAGTTAATTATTTTGTGGCTTTAAATAATTTATAGTTTGTGCTAAACTAAAAAATGGCTTCAGCAGGATTCCTTAAAGCGTCAACAGACAATTTACCATGGGTACATATTTTTATGGTTACCGAATTTTAAAAAAACGACGAACGCTTTAATTCAGCCGAGTTTATGGGTGTCAACTGTAACCTAACCTATACACATGACTGCTTTAAAAATAAAATGAACTCTTAAATTTGTATTTTGGGCATCACGAGAACAATATGGTGATATCGGATATGTGGAATTGAATCGCGAGGGTTCTTTGTGCACTGTACAAGGTACAATTTGCCTAGAACAAAGAGTACGATCGAAGGCATATTCTGTCTGCCTCATCATTAGCTTTTTGTTCATACTTTCATTAAAATGATCCTCGCAACAAAAAACATTGATTTTGATTTAGGAACATCACGTCTAGCTGCTTTGAACCATAAAACTTCACGTGCATAATCATTGGGAACGGTTAAAAAGAGTTTGTTTGGAGCACTTATTGAGGTATTCTTGCATCCTGGCACAAAACACCACTTATTTTGTWATCCATAAATGTCACTATTTTYCATTATGCAAGATAAYAATAATAATCAATAAAATAATKATAATCACAATGGCTTAAATAATAAAACAAAGCTGTGAAAACAACAAAATAAACACGAGACACTTTGTCGATATGACTTGCYACGTCACAATCGGGATWTGCAACMGACGATACGGATTCGGCGGTTTTGGCGGAAAATATCTGATTTGAATTTAAATTCGCTTTAAAATTATTAKGRAGAYTTTTTTTGCARAWAAATTATATCAGCGTAATGTTTGTCATAACTACTTTCTATATATCAACATTGAAAAAAAAGTGAAAACACCCTATTGAGCTGGCGCGCTGAAGAGCACATTTATAAAGTGACTCTTCACACAAAAAATCAAAATTTCAAAACCGGCCCAAAAATGACGCCTTTTTTTAGTCACMCGAATCTCGAGAGTATTGAGGAAAAGCACTAATGTCCACTTTAGCATYAGAACTGATAAAAATTAGTTAATCTAGTGCGGAACTGACTGATGAAACGGCGCTACCCTTTCGCAATTTTATAAACGTATGCTAATAAAGCTCATCAGATTTATGCCAGTCATAAAACTTTACAAGGAAAACTTCTTACGGCTTTCTTGCCACTTTCTTTCCATTTTGGCCTTTCCATAAGTTCCGCGCCGACTGCTTTATGTAATTCCTTTATCGCCTCAATAAAATATCTTCTTGCCAGCATCTTCATTCTTTCAAACTTCATGATTTCCCCAACTTTTGCTCGGCACGTCCATTAGCATATCTTCAATGCAGATCTGAGAAAAATATATAATTATATCAATAAATTCAACTCTGATGTGATCGACATTTTGCACTTGTGTCGGTGAAACTGAAAAACATTTCCGATTGAAAAAACCGTGCAGCAATTAATAATGTAAAACGTGAATCGAAACTTGGCCAGGTAATTAAGTAAATTTTCCAGGCCATTAATAATAAACTAAGCTTCAAAGGGCCATCGAATGCGAACGGCCGAACCGACGTGAAGCTCTCAAGTAATCGGGATTTGGGAAAAATTGGCGGCTTATTCATTAATCTAAGTGCACAATGCGGTCTCAATGCCCTCATGAATAATTACCAGCGGGTTCTGTTACTTCTCAATCTAAGACAGTACGTTACCTAAGTCGACCTTTGTTTACCAGAATCTCGCCCTGTATCGATTGAATATTAATTACTCGATGGCGAATTTTGCCATTGCACATTAACAAGGGCTGTCTAGTCAAATTATGAAAACTTGCCGCCCAAAAACATGAATCTTGCCCAAAATCCATGGCCCAAAGTAAAATTTTAGAACTATGATCTGCGTTCAAAAAATCGGCATCAAATGACTTCTATTGATAAATTCACCTTTTTACCCAAATAAATGTGCATCATTATAGAACTTTCGTAACAAGTTTACAATTGGAATCGACATTTGCACACAGTTTGGTGAATGCCAGAATTTAATCGGTTTAGTTTCAGAGATAAAATTTCTCACTCCCCAATTTCTGCGCAAAATAGCGAAGGATCAATCAATACCTCAAATCTCGTAAATGCATTCCATTTTAAGAGGGCATTTTTAGGAAAAAACCTCGTGTTGTAAACGTATCACTTTATTCATTAACCTAGTGACTATTATCATACATTTTAAGGGGTAGTATAACAGTATAATATAAAATATGGCACCACCATCGGAGTAGGCAACTCAGAAAAAAACGTGAACTTAACGATCATTGTACAAAAGTGGGACAATTTAAATCCTCTTCGAGAATAAGAAAACAGTCACTAAAACGTAGCTAAATCAGCAGATTATGGCCTTTCTCAAAAACCGCAAAATAATAGCACCGATCAATAGCTTGGATGGAAACATGTTTGCAAACCGTTGGAAAGAGTGTTTCAAGGCATTCATTTGCTAATTGTGTTTGTGAGAGTGCTACCAGAGAAGGATAATTCATTATATGTATACTACTCAACTTGCTAGTGAAACCTTGAATTCTCTTTACATCACACACATAATAGTTGAATACAGTATGAGATGTGGTTATTGTAGTATCAAAAATATGCTACTAAGTCAGGAATAACAAATAATCTGTATTATTTTTGTCTGATAATTCAACGCTCCAAATACGATTCACGATAGTTCAACCGACGGGCGCGCAACAGATAGAAGAAACCTCGACATCCTCGCTTAAGGAAACGATCGGACTAACAGTTCGATGCTTAATGATAAGAAATGAGCGTATCACAATTGAATGCAGCTATTTTCAACCACATTTTGTCCAAGTTTGTCACTTTCACTTTTAATCAGACGATAAAATAGACGACCTTCTGGTACTTAAAGTGTACACGTTTTCGCCTTCTGGTTCCTTTGCGGTTAAACTTTTCAATTAATATTAGCTAATGTACACGGTATTTACACGGTTTTTACAAGAATTAGTCTCTCAAACGCACGCATTTCCTTGCTAATCGCCTGGATGCTCCGGGCAAGATCTGTTCACTTCAAACCATTTATCTATACACCTGAAAAAAAAGCAAAATTACTCAGAAATTCCTTTTCCCGTTTAAATGAACTTACGTTTTATGATATATACACAGACAGGGCAGTCTAGCGATAACATCCCCTTGACTGAGTTCCTCAAGGCAAATTACACATTCGCCTCTATCATCGGTCAGGATGTCTTCTACAGGGCAAAAACACAAGGCAAGTTAAGAAAATATAAGTTACTGAAATACCTCGTACCGTTGTAGGAAAGGCGGGGTTTTGTGAGGCACATGACGAGGTGGCACTCGATGTCGTCGGGAACCACAAATTTGCTGCAAACGGGGCATTTTATACCTGAAATCAAATGCATTTGTAGGTATTTATTGTCGGCATTCAAATTTGAGTCGAAACAATTCGTTTGACCATTGAATACAAACGAACCGATAAAAACTGAACATTCAACAAGTTTTCTAATGGCGCATTTCGATTGACCGGTAGATCGTTTATTTATGGGCTCATTTCCAATGTCAAACGACATGTAACAGAATCAATATATTTGTTAAATAGATCGAAAATAAAGTTCAATTAAAAAAAATAGAAAATGTTGAAATTGCGTCGCGTTAAAGGTCATCGGCACCCCTAGTAATTCTCAAAAATTATGAATTACTACCATAAACAACTCGATGAAAACGAGCGCCTGAATCAGGATCTTCTTCGGGCAAACAGGAACCGATAGTGACACCCATTTGTAAATTGTTCCACCGCACTAAAAAGCACATAAATGAGAAATTCGAGCTGCTGAAGGGTTTTTGGGTTGCTCCTGCATTAAATAACAATGTGTTATGAATGGAATGAGCAAAAAATATTGCATTCAACAATGTTCGGGACTAACACTAAGCTTTACAACTCGACGCCCGGGACGGCGTCGAAATTCGACGCTGCGGCCGGCTATTGACGCGAGCGCCTTGTTGTTTACGAGGTAACTCCCAAAAATCGCCAGAATTTGTCAATTTTAAACAATCTAAATCCGTGCTAATTTTGCCCAAACTTTGGTTAGTACGAAAGTGCTAATGCAGTTCATTTATTAGAACTTGAAGCTTGATGAATTCCTTTGTTATACCGTGCAATCTACGACGTTCATTGTGTTCGCACTTTGACTTTCAATTATTCTCATTGTTATCAGTTGTGGAATTTTACATTTTTAGATCACAAATAACCTTCCCTGTTCCGAGAATCATTAAACCGATTAAAATTGTCGCAATTTGCACTGTTTCACAACGTCGGGCTCGACCTTACCTTTTTCACTAATAACAAAACTGTGACCCCACAGTTCACTTGCAAGGATACTGGTTTTATCACTAGTCTCAGCTTGATGCTCCGTATGCTGATGAGTGGAAATACTCTGCCCCATCTTTGCTATACACAGAAACGACTGGGATTCAAAACAGTCAAGATTATCGAAACAATACGCGCGACCAGGAAAAAAAACTGATCACCTTACGCAACACTTTAATACAATAACGTAGCAAACCAGTTTACGTGCAAAAAGCTGGTTCAGTTAATCACACTTGCACTATTCGAATCCTAGGTGCAAGTGCGTTGGAATAATTAGCAACTCAAGGAGTTCACTGATTCTGCGAAGGATGGCACCTATTTATACTATTCGGCTGAAAACAGTTTAACCGCGTTCATTTCCCACGATCCGGATCAAAAACCTGGTGGTTCGCAAGCAGACAACAAAACAACTGATGCGAAAATAAAATTGTATCTTTATCTCTCGGGCAGGTGCATAACAATCTATTTTCATCCTCGGACTTAAGGGGTCTATACGAAATGAAACGTTGCAATGAAACTTTGCCAAGAACAATCGGCCAAATTTTGATTCCTTTAAGTCATTCTTTTACTTCTTATGATTAGTTGTTAAGGCCAAAGTTAGCTTAAGCGTCCAAGTAATTTTCTACACAAAATGGTGAATGAGTCCACTCTTTTTGATTTACCTACTTTGGATTAATCTAAAAAACGCAGATAAATGGACTATTTTTTTAAAGGTGGATTGGGTGCCTTAACGGAAACTGACTTTCATTTGGAAGGAAGTTGGATGGACCGCAAATTACTTAATGACCGTAATAATTAGGTAATTCCCAATTGATAAGCAAAGTATGTAAGCTTTTTAAGTACTTCGCGTAAACACTTGAGCCGATTGAAATACAGAATCGACGTTTTTATCAAGGGACCGAAAACCAAACAAATGCTCTGATCCTATTGAAATCACCTGGTATAACTAACTATTCCAAAAGCAGGAAAAAGGGCTAAGTATATTGTTGGTTTCCTTGCCAACATCATTCGACATTGTCCCTGAAACCTCCATTATCAGCGTTATTATTGATCCCACAATAGCATTTCCTCGAAAAGGCCGCGCCAAAGAAGTCACTAACATTCTACTGCAATCTTCTAATTAACTGCTCTCCCTAGAAGGGTTCGCTTACCATTTAAACTCCATATGTGACCAGGCAAAGAATGGGCGGCATACACTCTAGTAAGGGCGGCTGCGGCTGAGCTTCCAATCAGCGCGCCGTGAGCTCCGTCTTCTGCTGCACTGCTGTCAGTATCAGCGTCTGGGCTATCAACCACTGGCCCTTCCGTTGCTAAGTTTGGGCCCCCGTTCTGAGCCCGATGAGCCTCATTCCCTGACCCTCCATGCAGGTCTGGCACACTTGATAATGATCTGAAAGTGTGCGTTTGTGAATAATGAAAAATGAAATATAATGTTAACAAGGTATTAAAATCTAAAATTGACCCAATTTCTGTCGGCATAAACAGTATCATGTAACATAATCAATTCTGGCTACATTCCACGTAGCTCATGGTATAAATAAGTAGTGCCAATAAGTAGAGTTGACCAACAAATCACTATCTGCGATTAATAAATCGCAATCACAATCTGTGACGAATGTAAAAATAAACTGTGATCTAAAACGTGATTGACCCAAACGTGATATTAAAGAGCGAGTTTTTAAACTAAAATGCCACTAATTATGATGATCAAGTTTCAAAAAAAATTATTTTGCTCAAAAATTCGTTCTGTGTAAAGCAATAGTTTTATTTAGTTAATAGTTTTCCTATTTTAATTTTTTCCACAATATTTTTAGAACTTTTAGAGTACTTAGAATTACAAAAGTGCCTTATGAGGCTGCGATATCACGAAATCGGCAACCACAAGTGAAATCACATTCACAGGTTAATTTCACTGTTTAAAAAAAATCGCATTCACAGTTATAACAGTGGTTAAATCACGCTTTAGCTCATCTCTACCAATAAGTCCTTCCTTGTCTTCATTTATCAATGCTGATGAATTTGGTAGCATTTTATATGTTCCACAGAGAGATTCAATAAGAAAATAATTCCTCTTGTATAAATAATCAGTATTTCGCATCTGCGGCATCTGTAAAACAGGCTGGGGCTGAAAACAATGACCTAACATAAACAGATCTTCAGCCTTGAATCAAATTTAAGCTCCACAAAGTTTATTTGATTTGCGCTCTTTGGAGGTTCATCCTTTGTATAAACTGCGTGCAGAAACGTAAACATCCAAAACCAAAGAGTTTAATTAAACATTGAAACGAATCACTATAGTATAGCTTTATGTTGTTCTTAATGTTCTAAATATCATAGTTGCTAGATTTGATTGCTTTGACTAGGCCTTACCTGGCTCTTTGTCGGTCATTCTCCATTCCCAATGACCTCATCAATCTGAAGCCGGGAGTAGCAACAACGTCTGTACTGCTACTGGTTGAAAAAGCTCTTGTCCTAGGGCTCTGAGAGCCATCACTGGTGCTGCTAAACTTGGCCCCCATTTTAACAGTTCAACGAATATATTTGGGCAATTTGGCTTATTATTAGAATTAATGCGGAGGTCTCGAATGGTTCTACTACATTTTAGTGTGGTCGCCTTGGTTTATTTTGGTAAAAAAACGAAAAAAAAACGGCCGAGCATGTGAACATGTCCGCAAACATAGCAATCTTTTCACGTCGTTTAGGTATCCACCGCACTCACAGCAATGCAATCGAAACTTTGATATGCTAAATTTGTACTGTAGAATGCACTGTTTGGCTCTTTTGGGCAGCTGGTCGTGTTTTTTTTCGGAGAAAAAACCGAATATTTCATGAAACTTTGACGTTTGACTGGATTTGCGACAGTCGCGAAACACTGGCCTCTAGCGGCAGACCGACATTTTTGACACAGAACATCCCCCAGGCGGATGTTCTGTGATGCCTACATCCGAAGATCTTGGCAGCTTTGGCATCGGTGAATGGCACGCAGCTTCAAAATTTATATTTGGGATCGTAAAGTATTTTTGTGAAACAAACTTTCGAAGCTAAGTTTCCTAACTCGTATTGATAAGAGAAATTTTTAAAGTTTCAGCCTTTCAACTTTCCTTCAGCATTTTGAATTAAATGGTCCTTCGCCATTTTGTGGAGATTATAAAACCGCACAACTCGAATAACCGAGTTACCCAGTCGAAGGATAGAAAAGGTTTACTGACGAGGTCAGCAAATAAGCCAATAAATGTTTTTCAACCGTTCCCTACTTAAATAAACAGTTCCGACAAGCACCACGAAAATCCGTTAATATTTTTCAGTAGGCAGTGAAAATATTCATTTGCTGGCATTTGCGCAACTGGAAAATCAATATCCCGGGATTTAACCGACGTCACAAGGGTTGAAGCGAAAAATCAGCTCTTCAATTGTGTATTATTTTACCCCAATGAAGAGCCATGTAAGCTCAAGTCGGATTTTTCTTTGTCAATAGTGAATAATCCTAGATATGTTTTAGGGACGTATTGCTCGAATAGTCGGCGTTCACAATGTAGTTAGTTAAATTGGAAATAACGAAAGAAATTAAGAATAATGGTCGAAGAAGTGACTCAGGATGCTCATGGATACTCCAAGCTAGTGGGTCGAGAGAGGAAGAGGCAAAGCGATGGCTTCTCCAGCTCCAGGGCCGCCTTTGGCAACATTTCGCCCCCCTTAGATGCATATAACATCATATATGTTGCGTTTGTTTTTGGAGGAATTGGTTTTCTGTTGCCCTATAACAGGTGTCTATGCCGAACTCTTCACTACCCTTAAACCTTCACAGACACCTTGACAATTTTCAGCTTCATTATGGCCATGGATTACTTCAAGGCAAGATACCCTTCGAGCCCTGTGGTCTTTGATATGTCCCTGATCTACATAGTGGTGGCATTTCTAACAGTGCTGGCCAATACTTTGCTGGTGGAAACGTTCTCTTTGAATGCCAGGATCAACTTCGGTGAGCAGTGGTCTGTCTACAGTTCAGGCCGCTTAATAATTAACTACTTTTCAGGATACATTATGTCGTTTTTAACTTTGGTCTTTGTGGTGGTGTGCGAGATCTGGTGGGAAGCTTGGGGCACTGTCACCTCCTACACGGTTAATCTAGCGGCTGTTGCTGTAGTGGCTGTTGGCTGCACAAGTAGGTACTCCATCAAACCCTTCCCCTACTAGTAAAGGATATTTTTTCATAGTTCAGCAGTCCAGTTTTTATGGATACACCAGCATGCTGCCACCACAGTACACACAAGCAGTCATGGTAGGCGAAAGTACGGCGCAAAAACATCCTCTAGCGCCGCGCTGAAAGCATGTGCCTTTTCCAGGTGCATCTGGAGTCTTCACATCATTAGTCCGTCTGATCACCAAATTCATCATCAACGAGCTGCGTGGTAGCACGGTCTATTTCTTCGTCGTCTCAGTTTCAACGGTGCTAACATGCTTCGCAATGTACCACTTGATTAGACGATCGGACTTTATTCAGTTCTACATGGCGCTGTGTGAAAGAGCCAAAACGCGCATCACTTTAGAACCCACAGAGGACGCAGGATTGGTACGGCTATTTAAATAAGCTGCAGGGGAGCGTTGCGTTGGAAGGTAGAAGTGTTTTAGATTGAGACCAACGACTCTCAGTACGGTATTTTGAAGATCCAAACCAGCCCTCCGCCGACCAGCAGCCAATTGAGTTTTGCTAATCCGGCCTACGAACCATCAGCCCCAGTGCCCACATACAAAGTGGAAGACGTGGTTGTTAGAGGCCGGCACAGCATAAGCACCAATCGAGTTGGATTCAGTTCGATTAGAAGTGCAGTAAAAGCAGGGTAAACAAGCGGGAATTCGGACTAAACACTTGACTTTTAGGGGGATTGCAAGCTCGCTGGGAGGTGACCAAATCCACATATCCCTACATGTTCGCAATATGTTTAGTGTACTTTGGAACTCTTTCTATCTACCCGGGAGTGGTCTCTGAAATAGAAAGCTGCACTTTAAAGTCCTGGATGCCCATCATAATGATCTCCTTGTTTAATATTTCGGATTTATTAGGAAAAACGCTTGCCAGCAGTAGTGCCAGGTATCGGCGTTCTGTGGGTAAAAGCCTTCCACCCTAAACTCAACAAATTTCCAGGTTTTGGACTGGTAAACGCTTGGTGAAATATTCCGTAATGCGGTTATTTCTGATACCCCTTGTACTCATGTGTCTAGTGCCACGAAAATCTTTCAATTTTACGGCGGAAATCACAGCTTTCTTGTACTCAATCATATTGGGACTGACCAACGGAATACTGGGAAGCTTACCGATGATACAGGCTCCAAGTAAAGTTGATGATCGTCATAGAGAACTTACTGGTAAGCTCAACTCCAAATTTTTGTAGTAAAGTAAATTAGACTTGCGTAATGTTAACCGTTCCACACAAGGGAGTTCCCATAATATTCTGGAACAATTCTTTTTTAGGAAACATGATGACACTCATGTACATGTTTGGATTAACTGCCGGATCGTTCCTAGCGTGGTCAATAGAAAGTTGTTTCAATTTCAAAAAAGATAGTTGCACCCAGTATGAATCGGAGGCAAATTTCAACACAGTCTTTTGACAAATATTGTTCTAATATGAGTGTTTTACAGGAAACGAACATTCCCATATTGCCCCGTCCGTTCATTTTCGGAGGAACTCCATATCCGACTATCACTTCCACCATCCCGCCATCTGCTACCATGATTATTGACGCTGCAAATGCATCAGAAACCAGTCTGGTCTAAGTGTTTGCAATTTTAAAATGAAACTTCCGAAGCATATCAAAAGCATGGAAACCGATTTGATTTTCGTAATTATTCTACACGACTGTATCCAAATGCTAAATTGCTTGAACTGAATATCTCCGCTGTTTAGAACAGGATTTGAAATGTTGGTGCTCTTATAGGTAAGTTGAAAATATACTTGCGGCCACGTCAAGCAGATATTCTCCTAATCCATATCCAATGTATAATATGTATAAGGACCCTCAACTCATATCGCCTTGGGAAATGCACTTTGTCGTACAGAAGAAAAAATAAAAAGTCATAATAATTGTTGCTGATGTTGTTTTGAGGCGTTAAAAATAAATTACTCATACTTACTAAACACAATTAATAATAGTTGGAATGATTGGGCCATGAACTTGAAACATTCACAACTTTTTTCATTATTTGTCTTTCTTAGTATCTTTGTCTCTGATGGCTTCCGACTTGGAATCGGCCGTAATTTCCCCACCAATGCCCTCTTGCCTAGACGCATCGACTGGATACAACCTGCAAACCAATCAAATCTTTAAATTTGAGCTAAACCCAGCAAATCCGCATTACCATCTTTGGTATAGATAAACCAAAAACACCACATCGTCCCTTAGGCAAGCCACCCGATGGGCGGTGGGCATCGTTATGATAAAGGCAAAAATATCGTCTATAAAAGTGTTGAATGCCCGATACGTGAACACCCGCCAAGGAAGGGCTGCTACAGACTTTAGTCTGTAATTGATGAACAGCTGCGGAAACATGAACAGAAATCCGAACGCGTACACGCCATTGGCTAAGCTGTTTATTGTCCACGAGTACCAGCTGAAAATGAGGCAAGTTAAGAGCTGAAAACTATGTGTACAATGTAAAAAAACCTTTTGTGCGGCAGATACAAGAGGGAATAAATCGCAGCTGCCAAGCAAAGAGGGGTCAGCAAGTAACTGAGAAATTTCATGCATTCTTCGTCGTATTCTCTGGTTTCCGCCTCAGCAGCAGATTCGGTTTTATCGCGATTGAATGTTATTCCTTTTAGGGAAATGCTTATTTTGGTTTTCCATGCTTTAGAGACTTTCCACATCTAAAATCCAGCTAAATATATGAATACTTTAGGATTAGCGATTGCAGATGTCTTGCCTCAATTATAGTGGCAATGCCAGCAGGCACCAACACTAGAAGAGATGTACCCTCGTCCAACAAGAACAAAAACACGATTGTATGTGAAAAGGCTCGCCATAGCACGGTCCTAGTGGAAAGGCCGGCCATGGAGCTCTGCGACCTCCAGAAGCTGACGTCGTTTTTAAAAGATAGGAAATCCAGCAATGACTAAAAATTATTAATTCTAAATTAAGTATAAAATAACAAAAAAAAACGTACATGAATGCTTCCAATAGCCAGTGTGGCGCAGAGTAAATACAAATTCGTATCACTAAACACGCTCTTGACCTCATCAATGTCTTTCTCAGTAAATCCCAGGCCAACAAATGCTCTTAGGGTGCCTTCCATCTGTAAATTGAAGCGAATCTTTCCAAGGGAAACCGGCGAATAAATATACTGGAAAGACATCGAAGTACTGGATTTGGTGATTTCCGTTAAATCTTTTATCCGCTGGCTTAATGAATCCTCCCTTGCGATGGGCAGGAATTGTCCATTTGGTTTCAACCGCAATAAGCGAGTTGCATCGATTTCATGGGGAATTTCGCTGAAAAAATACCATGTTTCAGATGCATTCAAATTATTTTTTAAAGACTTCCACGGAAGAATTGTACAAAGATTCCTTTCTTTCGTTAAATCATGGCCCTTATTCGCTGTTGCCACCTCGCTGTCAAACATACACTAATAAAGCATACCATAACCTGTCCGAACTTAGCTGACATTGATAAGTGACATTTTAATGACATACTTAAGTAAACACAAAACAGAGTATCGAAAAAAATCAAAGTATCAACTGCAAGTGATAAAATGACCGAAACGAACAGTGCGAAATCTCCGAAATGTCGACCGTATCACCGCGAAACAGTAAAGTTAACGCACACCGTATCTGTGTACCGACTCCTGACTGAAAGGCTTCTTGGAATGAAAAAAGCACTTGGATTCACTGATAACTTTGCAAGCACAGTTTACACCAACTTCGACATAGTTCAAGACGATTCTTGCCACCCCAGTCTAATTCATGAAGAAGCCCTAGGAGGGATTTTTAATTTGGAGTATAGTTTGAATGGAAGGCTGCTGGCAGCAGCATGTGAAGACAAGAAGATCCTACTGTTCGACGCTGGTACTCACAGGCACATACAGACTATTGAAAATGCTCATAGCAATTGTGTTAACTGCATTAAGTTTTTGGACGGTAACACATTTGCCTCGGGCTCAGATGATGCACTGATTAAGTTGTGGGACATTAGAAATTTGAACTCGTCCACGAAAACATTGCATGGTCACGCTAGTTGGGTGAAGAACATTGAGTGGTCTGAACAGGAACATGTTATGGTGAGTTCAGCTTTTGATGGAGCAATTTATGCATGGAATCTGAACAGTCCCACAGAGAACAGTGTGCTTTATGATCGAGTATTTCAAATGACTGGACTTGTGCGAATGAAACTAACACCTGACGGTACGAAAATGCTCATATCGACCACATCAGGGTTTCTCATCATTATACACAACCTTAATTTGCTGACTCTCTTCAGCGACTTTGCCAGCTTCCAACCTGCCTTGTATAGAATGGTTCAAGAAAGCGGACAGCACTTTCCTTCAACAAATAAGTACAATTATTTATTCAGCCCATCTCGGACGAGGAACCGAATAGAATTTATAGACGATTTTCCTAATGACGCCGAAGTTATTTCCTCATTGCAAATTCATCCCCATGGATGGTCAGCTTTGTCTCGAAATATGAACAGAGACGGGACCGGAGAGTGGACTACTGTGCACGACATTCAAGAAAGATGTATAAAAGAATACGAGGAAGCGTTTGAGTTGGTTCCAGATGGAGAATCGACTTCCACTGAAAATATCGAAGAAGATGTTAATCTGAATCAACGAATTACCGACATCTGGACAGGAAGTGTGCCACTGATTGATTACCAACCTGGCAGCTACTTCGACTGGGGCCCTGGACAAGACGAAGTGACCATGACGAACAGCGGCGTTATCAGAATGTCGCCACCTAGTCAAGCGTACTTCAATGCAAACCCCAACGAGAAGAACAGGCTAATCAAAAACTTGAGTAGAATGACGCATTATGTCCAAGAGAAAAATGTCGGCGAAGGATTTATCAAAGTACTCTCCTTTTCGTCGGACGGGCGAATAATCAGCTCACCATACGACAGAGGCATCCGACTGCTGGGTTTCAGTGATAACTGCCAAGAACTGTCCTCGTGTGTTCCCGAGACGCCCAAACAACTAAAGACAATAGTGCTAATGAAGAATTGCCACAAAGACGTGGTACTCTCATGTAAATTTAGTCCAATACACCACCAATTAGCCACGGGCTGTTTAGGCGGGCAAATAAAATTGTATCAGCCAGTCTTTTGAATGATCATTTACATCAGTAACGGTTCGGTCGATTTGTATTTACCTGTTATGTATAGGCCATGAATAATTTGTTTGAGTATTGTTGTATTTTTATAAAATAAACTGTTTTAGCAATGGTATAGATGGTGATTCAAAATTGGCCCCAATTCTATTTGGATAGTAAAATGAACAATTCTGTACAAAATCAAAGTTGAGTACTTTCAGGAGATGTTCAGTAGTTAAAACATAGCAAGTGCTAAGTGGTTAATAAAATAGTGCAGTAAAGAAGATGCTTACTTGTGAGGCAAATGAAGCTCCTCGGTACACATGTACACTGCGTATCTGGATTTTAAATGTGGCACCGGTTTTGAGGCTTTCCCAGCTTCCTCCTCTTTTAACAAATTGAATGTGGAGCTTTGAGGTACCGCATGCTGTGATAACAGTCCTAAAAATCCCTCCAACTAAAACAACAGTGTGAATAAACCCTGTAACCAACCTGAAACTACGACTTTCAGATCCTGGTCACTTGAGCGGCCGGTGGCACTAATCAGGGTGTCTATATAGAGCGACCCATTGCGACGCACTGATTTCGGCACAGTAAAATTCACAGACCTGGAATTCATGAACCAGATGAAAAAATCTAATAACTGACTGACCCATCGTTCCGTGCCTGTCCCATGCATTCCTGTAGTCGAACTCTTTGATATTGAGCACTAAAAAGCGGGGAACAGAGCCATCACTCAGGTAGACTGCCAGATCCAACTTGGGGTTATCGTTCAAAATCGAATGAAAACATTTATGGTGAATTGAAGGATTGCACTTGGGCGATTGCCATATCGAATAGATGCTCCACAACGATTGACCGATGAACAAAAAGAAGATTACCGATCCTATAAGGGTTAAAGAGGGGCGCATTATTGGGGCGCCGGTACTGTTTTGAAATTGAAGGACACGTATTTGTTTTGATTTGTCCGACTGACAGCCATGCAATTTGCGAAAATCCTATGGAAGGAGCATTCATTCTCAACCTAACCCTACTTGTCTTCATCTATGCTACCAGAGACAAGTACTTGTGTCTAGAGACTGCTACTATCTATGAGTCTAACCCCACTTTGCTGCCATCAAAAATGTTGAAAATTAGAAATGTTTTAAATTTCGCCGAAAAATGCTCCACCAGAACCAGGCTGTTGTCTTCTGGAGCTCCCCAGATTGCGCCTGCCATAGATGAACCAGGTACTCCACTCTCTTATAACCCACAAGTGTGCTTCTTGAAATTCATTTTTGTAGGTCCCAAAGAATCAGTAAAGACCGAAGTTTTAAAGCATCCTGATTACTTCAGTGTCCGTGATATATTTACAGTTAAAGATCTTTTCGATGCTCGAGTCCACTACGGACATCGAGAGGGATCGCTTGAGAGCAGAATGTTGCCCTACATCTATGGATCCAGATTGGGGCACATCGTGTTCGACCTGGACAAGACGGCGCAATATCTGCGACAGGCCCTGAATATAACAGCGCATATCGCTTACCGGGACGGAATAGTGTTGTTTTTCATGAGACAGCCCCAGAACGCACATCTCGTTGAAACATGTGCGAAAGAATGTGGAGAGTTTGCCCACACAAGATTTTGGAGAGGAGGCATATTCACCAATGCAGAAAAGCAGTTTGGAGCAGTGACTCGTTTGCCAGATTTGTGCATATTTTTCAACACACTGACCACGATTCTATCTCAGCACACTGCAGTGAGAGATTCTGCCAAAATGGGCATCCCAACGATTGGCATCGTAGATTCTAATTGTAACCCGAATCTCATTACCTATCCGGTGCCAGGAAACGACGATTCGCCAGCAGCTATCGAATTTTACTGCAGAGTATTCAAAGAAGCCATTCTTCGAGGGAAGACTAAGCGAAAGGAACATGAAGCTTTGTAATTCTACTTTTGCAACATTTTCTTTATAATTTAAGTAAAATTTTTATTAAATTTCTATCAGTTGTTTAAATATAAAAGAGTGGTAAATGTCTTGAACATCAGTTCAACATAACTTTGCATCTTTCCAACCACAATCCGCACTCCAATGACGTCAGTAAGCAAGTTCCCATGTTTATATAACCCCATACCCTTTGGCCTATCGTCAGTTTTGACTTTGACACTTGCAAAATTCGCAGTCTTTGTTTACAAACAACGCATTTTAATGAAATTTTCATCTATTGCCCGCAGAAATTAACAATTTTCCATGAAACAGTACAAAATGGCATCACTTTCCAGTCCCAGCATTATAAAACAGCCACTGAAATTCGTGGAAATACCTTTAAATAAGTTCTCGGAAGAAGTGATACCCCATCACCAAAGGATGTTGGAACAGCACAAAGTCTATGTGCATAAGGTAATTGCGAACTGAATTTATTGCCTGTAGTATTACTATAATAGGGCAATATGTGCAATGATTGTCTTGCTTGAAAAATAGTCTCAAATATATAGTGTATATCCTCTGATTCGAATTAATTTTTGCAGGGTCAAATTCGGTTTAACTTTTAATGTTACTGTAATTAAACGGGGATTATTACTTTCACGAGAAAATTATTTGATCAGATGAATGTCGAATTACATGGTGCCTTATTCTTAATCGACATAAGGGTTAATGAAAGACATTGGAACTCCACAAATCTTCACATGGTACGACTTGTTCACCAGCAATGTCGTTTTGGAGTCTATATAAGTTGTTTTATGTTTCCAATTAAACTGGTAAATCGCTGTTTAAGTACTCACTTTAGAAACCGTTAGATGGGAACAAATAGGGACTGGGAGAAAATGGGAAACAATGAAATACTTCGTTTCAAAGTTTCTATAGCGTTTTAATTTACTTTCTTGTGCCAGCTGCTTCTTCTACCCCTTTTTTATATCTTAAAATATATTTTGTATGTCTTTGCAGCTAGAAGATTGGCTTTAGTTCCATAATGGCATATGAAACCGATATGATCTATGGCGGGTTCTATTATTGAAAAAATGGTTCAAAATGCTACATTTTTACATAAAATATGCAAGATGTTCCATTAAACAAATGATCGGATGTCCGATAACTTTTTTGCCTGACTGAAAACGGCCTATTGTTTAACAATCATTATCAAGAAAGTTTCACATAAAACATTTTTTGGATCTCTTTGAATTAAGAAATAATTATATTTTCTTCTGTATCTCTTAAGGGAGCAAAATTATTCAAGCTTAGATTTTACCATTTTAAGTTTGACCTGAAAAGAAAGCCAGCTACACAGAGAAACCTTACACTGGCGGAATCTGAGGGTGTAAGATAACCTTGCTTGCGTAACGCCAAAAAAAAAAGTCCATGACAACACCAGTGTCGTACATTATTAATTTTCTGTAGCTGATAGCTCTCAACAACACTACGCAGCTAGTTAAGGAAATCAAGGATAAGAAAAGGGCAATTAAGCAGCTGAGGGATTTGCTTTACGAACTTGATACCTTGAGAACGCAGGTGGAAGATAATGACTTGGACCCTTTCGACACCAAAACCATGCCCTTGCGGAGCAGCATTTTGAAGCTGACCAAAACCTATCAAGGTACCGAATCGAGCACTCATTGTTGTGCAGTAAATGGTACATTTACGCAATTTTAGATCTGGAAAAAGCAGCCGATAAGCTTATAGCGAAAAACCAACCCGGATCACCGCCAGAACCTTCCCCCAATGAACGATTCAACCCATTTGAAGGTGCTTCGCACATCCAAATACAAGCTGACCTGGATGAAATCAAGCTGCAAAATGAGCAGGCAAGGTACTAATTACTCACAGCAGTTAATAGGCGGGTTCTGAAGTTGAGCGTTTCAGATTGAATAGGGTACAAGAAATAGAGCAGACGTCCAATGACCTAAAGGAGATGCACAGAGACTTGCATCAGTTAGTCAGAGACCAAGGGGAGCAAGTGGATGAAGTAAGCAAATTAATACTTTCCTCCATTGCATTGCTTGATTTTTTTTATATAGATTGAGATTGATGTAGCAGCTGCAGAGCAAAATGTCCAATCAGGATTCTTGAATATCGTCAAAGCTAATAAGTAAGTTCTCCATTGATATTAACCAACAAGTCTACAAATGTTTTTGTTACAGATTAAATGCTGTCGCTTACCCAGCAACAGGGGCGTTTATGGGCACACTATTGGCAGGCCCGATAGGGTTTCTTGCGGGGTTTAAAATTGGAGGTCTTGCAGCGATTGGGTGCGCTTTTGCGGGCTATGCAGGTGGCACGTTGCTGAAGAAGCAGAAGGACATTGATGTTAATGAAGCCGAGCACGTAATAAACAATGAGAACAACGAAAATCACACAACGGTCAGCGAGAATGGCAAAAAGGACATGTGACAAAGCAGGAGATGCTATCTTTGTTAATTGGACTTTTCAACGAACTCCTTCTGTGTGTGAACATAACTAATTTAAACAAGTATAAGGTTAGTACAATTTAAATGGCTTTGCTTACCATTGAGGAATGTTAGAAAATTATATTGAATTTAATTGTTTTAAAACACACGAGATTACTTCACGATCACATCAAACGAAGATTTAGTTTCGTTAAGACACATATGCGTTTAAAAATGATTTTGTGAAAAGCGCCATTTTCAAATTAAAACGTTTGATGACTACTTTGATTTGTTTGCACTTGTTCCTTATTCCGGATTATTCACTAGGAAACAAATAGGTATTTCTGCTTAGGAAAAATGTTTGAATTGGACGAAAAACGCCTTTCATTCCCTAAAAATAGCAGACGTTTGTAGAATAAAAGGAGTTTTTAATTCGGTCCAAAACCCGCTATCCAAACATACTTATTAAATGATGTGGTTAATTAGTGACCGCGATGATAATCAGTGAAAGACGGCTATTTAGGTTTGAGGGTTTTTCGGTCAATAGATGGTGGCAAAAATAAAACAATTTTTTCATCGGCCGTTTCGACTATATTTAAGTCATCCTCAGGGCTCTAAAAAGGAAAACAGAGAGTTTCAGCCTTGAGCTTAGTGAAGTTGAAACAATTTAAGTCATTGAATATCAAAAATGTTCGTAATTTGATAAAAAGATCGAAGTTTTTCTTTTCGAATGCTTAAGTATTCGAATAGGCTACCAATCAAACGTGAGACCTTTTCAAAATAATGCTTAATAACAGTTAGTTTAAATTATATCTTCAACTGTTAATATCTCCGTGAAATTTTGAAAAAATCAATGTTTTGCTCGTACTCTCTAAGTGAGCCCCCATATACCCTTAAAAGGAAAGACGCCAATTTTGAATCACCCTGTATATACGGTTCCCCTCCGCCGCTGCTGCGGTCCCCATCACTCGAGTGCAAGGCGCGCTCTGCAAATTTTGAATCGCGATTTTGAGAAAACTAATGATTCGAAAGCACCCGCCTTTGGTACATATAAAGAACATTGTAATCCCTACTTTGGCTCAAAATTTTAACGCTCCAGCTCAAAAAATGCGGGCGCTATGAATTTTCGAAAAAACGTCCAATTTTCCGGTTTTTCCTAAATTTCTCAGAAACTAATTATGCGATTGAGGCGTTTGACCTCTCATTTTGTAGATCTTTTTGTTCTCTACAAACCATCTCGCAGCATTCCGACTGCTCCATTAGTTTCAAAGTTATAAACAAAAGAAGACAAAAATCGAGTTTTTTGGCAATAAATTGTTAATAACTAACATATTGACCGGAAATGCGAGTGGAAAACACATACCTATTAATCTGCTCATTATCTTTTATATCATCGCACAATTCGTTTGCTACTAGTCTTTTGTCTCCCAAAAATGCTATATGAATGTTATTAAAATTTTTGATTACACACACATTTGAGGTACAGGTTTGGCTCTTTGGTTTCTTCACGCTTAGAATAATATGAGACATTTCTCAGGGCTTCCAAAAGCAGCTGCGTCAATAGCTATTATACGCCTTAAAACGTCTTATTTCAAAGTTTTTATTCATCAATGTTTTTGTTATGTGGGGACTTTCTCGTCTTTTTGCAGGGCCTGCTGTTATAAACTTTAATTGTATTTAGTGCTGCTTCGACTGGAGCGATTATATCTTTCACTTTAATAAATTCTGGAACTGTAGACACTCTATCTATCTGAGCACACACCCAGTGCTTTAGATATAATTTGTCTTGATCCAATTTGCTGATATCTCTCCGATTTTCCTTACTAACTAAATCCTCTATTTCATTTTCGCATGTGGATTCTTGAATTACTACGGTATCGTCAGCTGAAATAAATAAATAGGTATATAAATACCAAGTAGTTGGTAGTGGTGGTAGCTGGTATAGGTTTAGGAAGTAGCTGGTATACGAGTATACAAACCTTGATCTATGTCCATTTCTTGGATGTCATTTAGGGTACAGTTTTCATCCAATAAATGTTTTTCATGTGTGCAAACTAAATGTATGTGTTTACACATATTATATCTGACACTTGAATCTATGCAGGTGCAGGAGTATTGATGGAGACAAGCGTCGCATTCTTGGCAAATTATTTTACAATTGCAGTGGAGCTTTCTTTGCTCCACAAAATATAGCTCTTGAGTGGTATTTGAAGGAACCTGCCAACCAGTTTCAATCTTCATCACTAAATTTGAATTCAGTTTTTGGCTGGCCTGATGTCTTGATTTTAGTTCCCTTAATTTTCCACACAGTTTGCCTTTTTGAACTGTAATTAATCGGTCAAAAAGTTGATCTCGTACAAATTTTAATACAGCATTTATAGCCTTATCCAATCGTTTATGTTTGCCATTTAGATATATATTCTTTATGGTGTGATGCATGCGTTCTATGTGTATATTAGTGTCCAGGCCAGTGTGTAGGCGATAGCAGTTAGCCCAGGCTTCAGCTTTGTTTGCGAAGTTTGCTTTAAAATAATTTAAAAAGTCTAGTGTGGACTCATTCTCAGATAGAGAATTCAAAAATGTATTCAACATCACCGAAAATGCTTGTTTATCGGTTTCCTCGAGTAAGGTACGCAATTGTTGGTGCACCAGCACCTAAAATAATTAGTAGTGAAAAATTAATTTCAAACTAATGAACCTCATTTGGCTCAAGATTTTTTTCTATATGTATATTTTTAAGATATACCTCTGTCTCCTTAGAAGTAATCTTTGTTAGATTTTCCTTCCATGCTCGCTCCACATGCCAGGTGCAAAACAGACTGGAAATTATTAAAAGTTCACATATGTACTGAGTGTTACCGATATAAATTGTTCTTTGATACGATCTTATTTCAGCAAAACAAAAGTATCACTAAAACTCACCGATATTTCGGAGGGCCCATAACTCTCAACCAGGCCTTAAAAAATGATTCTGATGTGTCTGACATAAAGACCTTTGGGGAAACTTGCGTTTCCAAGCTCTGCCCAATGAAATAAAAAAATATGGACATAACTTCTGCATCAGTTCTACTGGATATCAGAAATGAACATGGAAATCCTTCTCGCATATCGTCAAGTACTAGTAATGTTACTAAGTCAAACCCGTAACAATTTGACCCAAATGTGCCGTCTATGCAGATACAGTCGCGTCCAAACTTGTTAAGCATCTCTTTCGGACCATCGGTCATTAGAATTAAGAGAAAATCTTGGCTTTTAAGATGTGGGTACCCTTCACATAATTCATCTTGTGCTTTATAGAAGACTACACAATTACTTTTTTGTAGTTCATCTACCCATGTTTGGACACTTATCGCTTCATTCCTATGTCGGACAGGCCTGGCATTTAAATTATTTGTCTGTTTAATATTAAACAAATCTTTCTTAGTAAGTAGATGTATTCTGTCAGTTTTTGTGGTAGATGTGGAATCCCGAACCTCATCCAAAATTACAGATAAGGGAATATTTTCAGCTATTTTACTAGCTATTTTTTGTTTGTCTTCATAACTTAAAAATAAATGGGCCAAATCGTTTTGATGTCCAACATGTGTTTTGATATAATCTACACTGCAAATATTTGCTTTTTGAGTCATAGACATACCGGCTGGACAAAAAGCATTAATTTTGTTCGATCCTTGGCATTTCAAATTCCGTTCACCCTTTCCTTTGGAAATGTATTTCCCAGATCTATGGCAGACATACGTAGTTTTGGTACCATTTAAAGTAGTCTTTGCGCCACGTTTCTTTATAAAACATGACTTTGTGCTCTTTTCTTCTTCTAATTTCCAAATATCAAATTGTTCTTCTGAATCAAATTGCATATTTTCAGACTTAACGACTATTTGATGGTTTTCTTCAAAATGATGAATTAACTTCGATTTTAAATTATCTTCGTATTTGCATAAAGGACATTTTAATTGGTTGGACCTGTTCCCTGTAACTATCTTGGTCTGATGTATCTTTTTATGGGCATTAAAATTCGTCACTCCGGAAAATTGCTTTGGACATTCAGGGCATTTGTAAGGATAACACTTATATTTCGACAAAACTTCAATTTCATCTAAAATAAGTAACTTATTACACTTCAATACTCGTGTACATTCCTTACATACATTGAGAGGTAATTTAGAAAACTTACTAATTACCTGGGTGGAAATTTCTCACATGCTGTCTCATACTGGAATATTGTGAGAATGCTTTATTGCATTTATCGCAGACAGCAGAGATATTGTAGGTCTTTTTCGGAACTAACTCCTCCACTTTTCCTAAAATAATAAGATTTTTAAATTGTCGCATAAGCACAACGTATATGAAAAACGGCAATTTTAATTTGGACAAACACTTACCTGGATGGAATTTCTTTACATGGGCTCTTAGACTAAACCGTGTTGAAAAAGAAGGACCTTTACAAATGCCACATAAAAAAATTTGCGTTTTATCCTCCATAATAAATATATTTCACTATGATGTATAATTGAAGTGGTTGTACTGATAATCAGTGAAAGACGCGTATTTAAGTATGTGGGTTTTCCGGTCAATAGGTTTATGGCAAAAATACAACACTATTTTTCATGGGCCGACGTTTCGACTATATTTAAGTCATCCTCAGGGCTCTATATAAAGTTAGTGCCATGTTTGCACCAAATGTACAGAGAGGGCAACATACCGTTCGAGGTAGGTGTACTTTTAGTCTAAAAAGGCACTAACTTCCCCATCTTCAGGCTTTATCTATGCTAACTTCGTAGAGCCCTGAGGATGACTTAAATATAGTCGAAACGTTGGCCCATGAAAAATAGTGTTTTATTTTGCCGTCATCTATTGACCGGAAAACCCACAGACCTAAATAGGCGTCTTTTACTGATATTTCACTATATTGTAAACGTGAGTAAAAATCAAATAAGAAACTTTCAAATACCAGCACAAATACACCAAAATAAACTGTTTACTATAAGCTTCCAGTGACTTCCACTCACAGATCACAGAGGTTATACTCTGTAATCTGTGCTTCCACTTGCGTCTAGCGGAAGCCCAGATATATTTGATGGGACGATCTTGACAGTTTTGGCCCCGGTGAATGACGCGTAGTTTGAAAAGTTACATTAGTGCCGTGAAGTGTTTTTGCCAAACAAATTGAAGGAGCATAGTTAAATAAATTGCTAGTTTTCTAAATAGTATTGCAAAGAGTTTTTCCAGTCCGCGCCAATTTGTCTGCTGCCACACTTCCCAAAATGTGCTGCTGGTTTCAAATGGAGAAGAAATGTTTAAAATATATATTTTGACTATTCTTTATAGGAACACACTCGAACATAACCTTAGTAATTCCTTTCTATGTATCATTGTCATGTAAACATTGTAACTTTCAACATTGTTATTGCCATTTTGTGCAAAATTCATACGAGCTGTGCGGTCTAATCGATATTTATTAATCAGTTAATTAAAGTTCCAACTAGTTCTTGAAATGGCAGGCTCAGCGCTTCGTCGGCTGATGGCTGAATATAAACGTAAGACAGGGTTTGTCAAGTAGGTCCTCACTGCAACGTTGTTTTCGAAATGTGCCTTACAGAGCTGACTTTAAACCCACCCGAAGGAATACTGGCTGGACCTGTAGATGAAGAAAACTTCTTCGAATGGGAGGCTCTTATAACGTAAAAGGGGTTGACCTGGATAACACCGAGCTCTGTTTGACTATCGCTGTTTTCAGGGGCCCCGAAGGCACTTGCTTCGAAGGAGGCGTGTTTCCAGCTAAGCTAACATTCCCCCCCGATTACCCACTGAGTCCTCCAAAAATGCAATTTACCTGCGACATGTTTCACCCCAATAGTAAGTTTCAATCCATTTCGTTAAGAGTTGCCTCAAAATATATGCTTCTCCGCTAAAGTATACTCGGATGGACGTGTCTGTATTTCAATATTGCACGCCCCTGGCGATGACCCAATGGGGTACGAATCCAGCGCCGAAAGGTGGTCTCCAGTGCAAAGTGTTGAGAAAATTCTCCTCTCAGTTGTGAGCATGTTAGCAGGTAAGAGTAATAAAAACTCGATGAATAGTTGATTAACAATTTAAACTGTGGAAGTTTCAGATATCGAGTTTTTCAGGTTTTTAGGCCGTCGTAAAATAGTATTTCTTCCTAATTCCTTAATTTCATTTGACGACGGTTTAAAATCCCGAAAAACACGCCGGTCTCAAAGAATGGGCTCGAAAGCCTATCTCTATTTATAAAAAAGTGTAAAGTTAAATGAAAACAAAGTCAAAAGGTGCTATTAAATTGACAATTTAAGCAATATTCAAAGGAAAAATACAATTTATAAGTAGCAAATACTAACTGCACAAGGATGCAGTGGCTTGTCCATTGGCCTATGGAAAAGTAGTAAATTTCATCACTGGAAAATGAGTAAAGGATTTTTGTATAAGACATTCTCTCATTGCCGCAATATAATTTTTTGCTGTGTGAATGTCCTCAGCACTTCTGGTAAAAGTTTTGCCTCAAAATAGCTCAAGCCCTTTGGTATTATTAATATAATCTGTGGTTAAAATTATTTACATTATTTTAGATAGTAAATCGCAGCTTGATTTTAAATATTTGTCCCCGTAAAATATCAGCGCGATTTCGTTAAAATTTTGATAAAAATTTGTCAATAATCAGTCCAGATCACTAACGTTTTACCATCAAATGTTCTGTTGTTCCTGGCACTATAGTTCCGACTATAGCGGCAGCTTACTCATTGAAACATTTGTTTTCTCAGTGTTTTTTCAAACTACTGTTATCTATTTAATATTTTCTTAACAACAATACTTCATTGCAAATTAGAACCGAATGACGAAAGTGGAGCCAACGTGGACGCAGCAAAAATGTGGCGAGAGAGCCGCGAGGAATTTAACAACATAACTGAGAAGCTTGTGAGGAAGACTTTAGGCATTCCGTGCTAATTACTTAAAACGTAATTACATCCGAAAAATCCTTAGGGTGTGCAATAAAGCTATGTTTCTTTATACCATGCTATTTATTTAGTCAGTAGGGCTAAAATTATGTAACAAAGATATAAATCTTGTAGGAAGTTAAATAGGAACAAAAATATCTACCAAAAATAATATACATATCCAATCACAACCTACTTGGCTTAAAAATGCTATGCCACTTAAAGACGATACTTGGCGATTCTGTTCTATGATTATTAATATATGAACCTCGAAATAAATCCACAAACAGCATCAAAATAATTAAAAAAATCCTAAGATTGTGCGTATTTATGCTGACCTATTTCTCATACTGTTTTAGCTGGAATTCATCCAGTAGTAGCAGTCCGAAAGAACTACTACCACAGATTTAAAAAATACTCTCTTGGAAATAAACGGCAGTTATTCTAGTAAAGCTAATAACCAGCGCTTTTCTTAGAATGATCAATAGCTTGTGAACCCTTTGAGGGTTGGTTTATCGAATGCTCAACAACGTATGACCGTAAGTCTATTGAAACAATAGCGAATTATTTGTTTTTCCATCCTACAACACCTTCGAGTAACTATTACTGTTGTCCCGGTATCAAGTTTGTACCCAGTAACTCCTACAGTTGCTATTCTATCTCTATCAGCTAAGTCACTATATCCTTTAAAATAAGTTAGATCACATAAAAACTTTGGTTTAAACCTTAAAGACTAACCGATTCATTTATACAGCCCGGTGGACTTTTCATACGGAGTGCGTCAAAATTGCATCGAATAGTACGTGTAAGAAACGAATCTGAACCAACTAAAAATATGTGTTTTTATTGTTCCTTCAATTTCAGTCTGGGTTGATGCAACATAAAATAAGTCTTCATTGTGATGTTTTCAAAACTAAGACTAACTCCCCTCACATTAATGACGCAAACCCCTGTATAGTTTCTTAACCTACTACCCTTGTAAATTGTTTGTTCGATTTATATGTATACCAGACTTGAACTAAAATTAATTCGAAACTTTGCTTCCCGTCAGCAGTCGAAACGAAGAGAACGATCATTTCGCGGTATGGGCAAGAAACGCGCGCAAAAAAGTTTCAAGATTGTCTATGACTACTGGCAACAGTACCTTCATTTCTGGGGTTATTGAAGACGATATACTCGTTCACAGGTACTAAGTGAGACTGACTTCTGTATAGGCTAGGGGCGGGACTATTTTCGCGGCTGCGATTGTCCGAAACCTGTAAGTTCTAAAAATCCTCCAATGCGTTTATTCCAATCGGGTGGCTACTTACATTGCTCGGAGCTGGCGGGACGAAGCTACAATGCAAAGTGTTCTCTTCGGAGGAAAGTTCCGCATCTTCAGGCATATCGGGCAAATCCACAAACCGTTCAGAGTAATAGTGTGGAGTGTTTAGATAGTCAATCATGCGGCGAGGCAATGGCAGATCGGGAATTAGATCGCGCCGCACGTTCTTATGTATTATAAACCTGACAAATTTGTTTTTTTAATGGAGGATTCAGCCGATTTTTCCTTACTATACTTGTAGACAGCGGTTGCTTTTGTTTAAGAGATTCTGAGCAGCGGAAATTTGAAATTGTTCAATTGTGTGGTCATGTAAACCCTGAAGAGATTGAAGAACCGGTATCAGAATGATCAGGTAACAATTCTATATTAATTCCATTTACTAATTGGGATTTTTCCCTTGCAGGTTGAGCCTAACTTTTTATGTTACGTGTTGATAAGGAAGACGCTCTTTATTTAAGAAGAGCCCATTATTAATCAAAAAAAACGTTTGAAAAGACCGTAAATTTGAGTCAAAATATATATAGAACTTAACTAGTTTTGAGCGAGCGCAAGTAACTAACGGTCGTCCAATGAAAAACTAAACAAGTGTGATTTTACAAAGTAAGACTTCAAAGAAGTTATCTGTGAAATTATGCTCGTATAATGAAGAATTTTGCTACTGCTGCTCTAACTTTATAAAGATTTTAATCGCTTACCTGCAGATATGCTGCAAACTTTGCACTTGTTTGAATCTGGAGAATGGATGCAGTAGCTGAACCCTTACAGGTCCAATTACCGGCCTTCTATGCAAGAAAAATAGGTAGCGGCCACTTCGAGAATGCTCCACGGCATTTTCGATGAATTCCACTATGGTTTGCGACTTGAATTTCGTGCAACTCCCGAAGCTGAAGTTGCCTGGAGAACAAGTGAGTAAAGTATTGTTGTTTAAATGTATGATTTGTTTCTGTTGAACCTTGGAAGTGCTCGATCCGCACATGCCGGACGCTGTTGTTCAATTTAAAAGTCAAGGAAAAAATGTAGTGATCATCACTGCTGTCTCTTACAATAAATGAGCCGTCTGGTTCGTTGGAGAGGATTTTCTCGGCTGCTTCACTAGACAATGGTCCCCAATACCAGCCATACTGAAACAACAACGTTTGTTCCAAATGGGGGACAGCCGAAATGCTGCTGATTCCTTACATCTTTAACTTTTTGAATACTTGTTGCAAAATCTAAGGCTTGCTTGTCGGTTTCTTCGTCACCTTCTTCCACTTTCTTGGGCAGAGGTGGTAACGCTCTGCCGCCTAAGGAGGTTTTTAGCTCTTCGCCATTATTCGCGCCCAGGTCATATTGCATTTTATCAGAATCAGTTTTATCCTGCACATAATACAAGTTAAAAAATCGCTTAGGCCTGGAATTTTCGGGCGGGTAACTTACTTTTTCTTCAACTGAAAGGAACTTCCTAAACCTAAATATATTGCACAGCGCCTGCTTGAAGCTGAAAATCTTCCGCTTTTTGCTCTCCTTCTTCACAGGTGAAATAGTCAACGTCTTGGAGTTATCACAACTGTCCTTCACCTTTTTGTTCTTTATGTTGATCAAAAATGTTGATTTTTTAGGCCTGGTTATAATCTAGAACCAAACGTTGTTCAATATTCAACAGAACAAGAAAGCTGAGCAATGAAAGATTTTATAGATATAGAATATACAGGGTGTTCCGAAATACACACCATCGACCAGTGAATCTCAGTCTACTCTATATCAAATTCAGTAAATAAATGTCGCAAAGAAAATATGTAGTTAGGCAATATTTCCGAATTAGTCACTTGTATATCTGCAATTATTAACGCAAAACTACTTATATAACACGCATATTTTGATGAAGCAACCGAGTTTTAAAGCTTTGGACAAGTGGTGAATTCTTGAGTGTTTTGGTATAAAAACTACCAATTAATTTGATTTTTGAGTTGATGCACTGATTATTTTTGTACATTTTTGGGCTCTTTCTAAAATCTCGTTTTTGCGCAAAAAATATTTCTGCTTTATTGTCTTTAACAATTTCAGACATTAATTAATTTTTTGCATTTACAAAACGTAAATCTTTCACGAATAAGTTTTTTGTACTATCGGGTGTTCAGATGAATTTTACTCAAACTTGCTGTACATAGATTCCTACGTAAGGGCCATATTTTGCTAAAAATTCGCTTATTTTCATCCGATTTCTCAAAAACCCAGTTCGAACGAAGACCCTTCCAAAGGACAACCATCGTAAGACTTGACCATTTTTTGACGCAAAAACTGTTAATGCTAAAAAATTAGAACGCAAAAATGTAAAAAAATTGTAGTGCATCTATTAAAAAAAAATCGGTTGATTCCAGCAGTCAAATAAAAAGGTCTGGTAGCTTTTTCGCCAAGACAAACACGAATTTACCATTTGCGCAAAGTAAATCACCTCGGTTGCTTCATCAAAATATGAGCCTTAGATAAGGACAAATTCAAAGTTTATTGACCATCTATTGATGGCAGAGAAGTTCGACTTTCTTAATAAAACTGGGACATAGATCGTCTTCTTTTGAGCCAAAATATGGCACAGTACGCTTTTGTTCATGTGCTTACGGGACACCCTGGATATTTATAAGAACTAAGTATATTAATCGTTCTAGAATGGCCTCCCAAAATATCGCCCTGTTTAAGCTAAACGCTGTACATTCTGCAAAATTTGTCAAAGCTTTACCTGATTGTGTCCTATACTCCTTGACTGGTACTTATTGCTATTATTGTTGTTGTTGATATTAGTACTGACAAATATCCCGTTGGTACAGTACTTTTTCCTGCAGCTCACCTCCTTTACTTCGCTCGAGTCTGAACTACTCGAGTACAAAGCCTGGAGGTAAGTTCTCACCTCTTGCAGTGTCATGTGTATTGGTTCGCCAGTGGAGGTGCCCGCTACACTATGACGCTTTGTTTCCGGCTTGAAAGTCCAATGAGGCTGAAAAGAAAAGAAACACACACTTAAATCGCACAGAAAAGGGCATTTTTTACAGTTACCTGCTCGCTTCTTGCTGCACTCTTTCTGCCCATTTTCAGCTGACTAGCCCTACAATCGCTGCCACTCGGCTTTCCTTCATCCCTCAGTCCTAAGCCTGTGGAAGTGCGCCCTCTTCTCCTATGCCCCAGTATGAGATTGCCTCCCAAACAGGCATAAGGACCGCTTCTTTTGGGCTTTACTCCAGGCTCTTTAACCATATCGACTGGGACCGCATACATATCGCTATCAAAGGGCACATTGTAAAGGTCACTGATCTGGTTAGATGAAAGAGTGTCATGGGACACTGCTTGAGTAATAAATGAGGAATCATCCACCCGCCTGGCGTGGGACACCGAAAGGGAGTTGTGCGAAGAGCTAAGGCGTGAAGAGCCGCCCAAAGAAGATCGCGAAGAAGGTCTTGGAGTGTGACCCACATAGGGAGAAGCAGAACTGGCAAAGTTCGAGGCGGAACTGGCAAAATTTGAAGTGGGACTAGGATATGACTGCTGGTAAGACATGCTGTGGCTTCTGTGAGGCGAAGAGTAGCTCAGGTAAGTGGTGGATTTGCTTATTGCTGGAATGGCTCGGGTAAACCCTGCGGGGAGTTCTGGCAGCGGGCGGATAAGAGGTTGTTTGTGGTTCATAGCTCTAGAAGGCAAGGGTGGCGGCGATATAGGGTGTTCCTGTTGTTGCAGACTATTTGAAGAATAAGACCTGCAAGCCAATGAGCAATTAATTGAGCGCCTTGGCTTTGCAGCTGCCACCAACCTGAAGTGCCCGAAACACTCTTCTCTGAAATCCAGCATGACTCTTTTTAAAATCTGATGGGTTAATCTATCACAAAAAAAGTCCACCAACTGGGGGGACAGAGCTTTAGGCCGATCTTGAAACTCTGGCGGCGGTTCAATGGGGGATACGTTCTGCTTCACTTCCGTCCAATGCGGGCCCTTTTTCAACGTATTGAAATGCTCCCCACACATCACGTCCGACATGCCATCGAAAGACTCGTCTTGTGACAAAGACCTTTCCTCACAATCACTGTCCTATCAATGTAAGTAGATGTTTGGTGAAACATTGATACGGTTTTTCACACAGGTACTGACCTCAAATAGAAAATGTCGGGGCTCACTCTTGCTTTCGAAACTGGTATTTTCACTAGAAAATGACCCAGTGGTTAATAATAAACCGCTGTCGTCGCTTAAAATCAAAGGGTGAGACCAGCTGGAACTTGATGGGGGTGATTCCATTTCTCCCATAGAGTTTGGCCCTATACAGCCGAGCTCATTTTGAAGTGATAGTTAGGCCCGCTTAGACCGAGGGGATTAACGGATATAGCAGATCCACTGGGCGATTTCCAAGATTACTCACCACAGTCCCTCCATTGCCACAGCCGGAGGCAATATCGAATGTTTCATTACAGGCCTTTAATTTCGTAGAATATGCACATTTCAACACAATCAGAAACCTTTTGTTAGTTTCAAAAATATACAGTACTGATTGATGGCTTGTTTGCTTCACTCGCGCACTAAACCAATCAAAATCGCGCAAAATCCTTGCTGCTAAAGTCGACTAATTTAATTTACAGTAATCTAGTAATGAGTTTATTTACATTTTAAATTTAATTTGTTGTAAAATTAAATAAACATGCAATGAGTCATTTAACTTTGACGGCCCGTCAAGTGTGACATGCGACATGGGTAAGAGCCGATGGCAGCGACAGCTAGTGGAATTTTGTGGAAGTTGGTGTCGATTTCTGTTTTGCTAAAACGTTCGGTGCATGTTACTTATTACAGAATTAGTTAAAGTAAATTTGAAAAATCCTTCAAAAAAATATATTTTTTAACACTGGGAGAACGATCAGATCGATTACAATAATAGTCGCTTTGAATTTGCGCGCATTTAAGATTCATATTTTGATTAATCAACCGAGTTCGCCAACTTTCGGCCAGTGGTGAATTATTGAGTATTTTGGCTCAAAAATTACTGGAACTTTTTACTAGGTTTTTACTTGAGTTGATGTCCTAATCTTTATTGACATTTTCGCCCTCAGTAAAACTTTTTTAACGATCACCAGTTTTTGGGCAAAAAATGATTTCTGTTTCCTTGCATTAATCCGTATTAACCCATAAGTCCATCATCAGCATCCGTAATAGCGCTTCGTTGCGAAAGCGCTAGACCATATTTTTATTCAAGGGTTGAACTAAACTTCAACCCCGATCATACACACTAAAATACAAGTTTGCATTCCCTTTGATTGGGACTTTCTATAAATTTTTATTATACGAAATCTGCTTTGTATAAGTTGAATAAACCGATGTGTTTTTATTCCTATCCTAGTAGTTTGGGCTACTTACGACTAAAAAAGTAGTGTGCGTCACGGGACGCTCGACAGACGTGATAACTTCATAAATTAATAGAAACCATAAAATATTGAACTTGTTTAACGCATGATGGCAATAATAATTTTACTTTATAATTTTAATATTCTTGTTAGTCAAATAATTTATAAATGGATCAGGAATAGGTAAATTTAATTTAATTTCCTTTTAAATGTAAAATATCTTTTTTATTTGCAACATTTAACATTCTTTAACGAGATGTTGTACATATTGCTCTTCTTGGGTTTGTGTAAATTCTTCTTCTTGAGTTTCTGTATTTGTTTTGTCGTAATTTCTTATTTGCTTTGATGAAAGCTGCTTTGAGTTGATCAATTACTTAATGCTCATTTTTTAGCACGAAATCGTTTTTGGCCTTCAGCATTACTTAATACTTTTGGCATTGTAGCATGTTTTTGTGATTGCTCTTGTGTATGTTGTTCATGAACGTCTGCTACAACTTGTATCTGAATAGGACTAAAAAAATCAATTAATTTTGGTGAATGGAAGACGTTCTATCTGTTTAAAATAGACTGTAAAACGAGCAAGAGCTTTAGAGACAGGATACACTTGACACACTATATGTATACATAATGTAAGCCATCGCGGGTACGTTAAAAAAAAATCTGACTGAACTAATCCAAGGCTAAAAAAATTAAACTAAATTGAGAAAACTTAATCATAAAGGAATCAAAGGGTATATGAAGGGAAAAAATCAATTTTGATGAGTGGTAAACACAATTAATCATAGAAATAATATAGAGAATTGAAAATAAGCCCTAATAAAAATCGTTTTACATATTTTGAAGTTGCAAAATAAGCTGAAGAGAGATTCGTATCGTCTTAACATCAAGAATGCGTTGCGCGATAGAAAATAAGAAGACGGAACCGATGTTTTCGGAAATAACCGAGGCAAACTCAAATATTTTTTCAATTAAATTCAAAACATATTTATTATACATATGTGATTACAAAACAGTAATGATGTTTATCATTTTATGTTAAATATGAAAGATTACAAAATAGATTTCTACATATTGATAATTTGATGTTATAAAATAAAATAACAAATAATAGAACATATTATTGCATTAAAAGTTATTAATAATAGTTGTGACACTTTATTTGCACTTAATCTTGAGCGTTTTTCATAAATTAACCCTGCCGTCTTTAGAAAATATCCGCTCAACATCTGCTTTAACAATTGTATCCGATGAAAATCACTAAACAAGTAGGTAGTAATATTTTACCAGTTCGGAATTTTCAATCGTGCAATACAATGGAAATGTACATCATCTGGGCAGCATCTGGACTACAGACGGAGAGTAAGACATAGGGAATCGGTACTGGGATTCTATCGATACGATTTAATTTAATTTAATCTTTTCTTGATACGAATTTGCGTCCGCAATCAATCAGCCGATTTAAAACAGGTCCAACCGTTTTTCAAAAACTTTATTGTAGTGGATTTTAGGCACAATTCTGTGTGTCGAATCATCGATTGTTAGTTCTTAAAACAATATTTAACAGTACACGGCAATGGGCAATCTCATTTGCAATGATAAACGCCCGGTCGATTGAAGATGATTTTCAAAGTTTGTATTACATTTTTCTGCAAATTTATGGACGATCCGCATTTTTTGCACTTAAAGTGCTTTAGTGTGTATAATTGTGTGTGTACTTTAATTGGAAATTTAAAAGAAGGCGAAACTCGAACAGGCATTTAGTACATGAGCACCCTTAACCTAGTATTT